CCCCAAATTATTCAGCATAGCATAACATACTTGGTCTTTACCTGGAGATGTTGGGTTTGCTTTTCTTAGTGCCCTGTTCACCTCATCCATAGTAATTGGAGAATTCAAATGATGGTTTAAAGACATTTTCCACACCAAATCATCAGGATACTGGGCTCTAGTCTGAGCTTTCCTCCTCAACGCATCTTCTGACAGGTTTCCTGAGCTATGGACCATAACAAAGTTTTGAGCCAGAATCTCTGCTTTGTCAGTGTCTAAGATTGCTGTGCCGTGCTCTGATACTAACACAGAGTAGTCCCAATCCGGTCTGTTTCCTCCCATCCTCTTAACCATCCTCCAGACTTCTCCTACAGGAGTGGTCCTCCCGATCTTCGAACAGAAGCCTCTCCAACTCGCTCTCTTTGCCTGCCTCACCGTCCTTCTAACAACGGCTTGTGCTTTCTTATGTAGAATCAGATGCTGCATATTAAGAGTTTTCCTAAAAATCCTTAATGCTTTGTTCCTTGCTCTGACAGCTTTTTGGAAATCCTCTGTCCACCACGGTACAAGAGCACTGCCCTGTCCAGGTTTACTTTTAGGTATAGAATGTTCTGCCGCCTCCATCATTACATGCACCAACTGATTGTTCATATTATCTACGGTATCTGAGTCAATAACATTATCCATCCCCTCCTCACACATTCTCTGAAATGTCTTCCAGTCAGCTCTGGAGAAGACCCACCTCTGAACTCCTTCCCTAGGTATCAGGTGCGCTTTACCCCCTACCCTACTCAAAATAGGGTAATGGTCACTCCCCAAGGTAGTTTCTGACCTGACATTCCACTGGCTGGCTCCCGCAAATACACTCGACACAAGGGTTAAATCCAAGACCGACTCAGTACCATTTACAGCATTAAACCTGGTACCTGCCCCATCATTTAAACAGACTAAGTTTTGCTCTTCCATTAACTCCTCTATAATTCTTCCATTGCCATCAGTATTTCGACTACCCCATACATTACTATGGGCATTGAAGTCACCACACCAAATAATTCTCTGCCGATCTTGTCCCTGAATGCCAAGTAGACTCTGAAGATCTAAACTGAGACATGGGTTGTAAAAGTTTATGATCACTATTGATTCCCCTCCATTCCACATTTCAATCACTACACACTCCAGGTTGCCACCTACTCCAAGCACCCTGTACGGAATATCACTTGTAATGAATGTGGCACAGCCTCCCCCATCCCCCTGCTTAAGCCAAGTCTCCTGGACACAAATAACATCAGGCTGTTCATCAAGTTCTCTAATAAAATGCTTTAACTCCTGGCCATTGGCCAGTAAACTTCTTGCATTCCATTGAACGAGTATTACCATTAGGATTAAATAAACCATCATGATCCCCGACTTGACTGATGACCAAGGTTGTCCCTCACCTTTTCCCATGTCAGTCCTGAAACTCCAAGCAGATCAGCTGCTGCCCTCACCACGACTTTAATTTTCTCATCTTTAGATCTAACTTCAGCAATGCCATTTACTACCTCAGTCTATAACCAAACCATTATTACGCCGACGATCATTCTGTGGACCTGGTGTCCTTACCACAGTTGTTGTGTTCGGTGCATTCCCCTTTACTACTTTCACTGCCTCTGCATAAGACACTTTCTTTTCCACTCTTACTTTTGACCATACCTCTCTTGTTTCATGACCTCACACCCAGCATAGGCATCACTATGGGCCCCACCACAACTGCAACACTTCGGCTGTACCCCCTCTCCACACTTTCCATACTCATGCCCCCCACCACACCGAGCACACCTCTTCTTTTCCTTACAGTTTAACGCTATATAATTTATTCGCTGACAATTGAAGCATCTCAATGGTTTAGGGATGTAGGCTCTCACCGGGTAGCTCAAGAACCCCACAAAAACTTTACTTGGCAAACATTTTTCAGAGAACTCGACCAGAATTGATTCACTGTCCACTTTGGTTCCCTCTTTTGTAACTTTGAATCTAGTTAAATTTATAACTGTGCCCCTCTGATGTGCCTTTTTAGGTCATCTGTCTTGACACTGACTGGAACCCCAGTTATCACTCCTTTACTTCCGCCTACTGCCTGTGCAACCACTTGACCTGTGCTAACCACTTTAAACTTTCCCAGCTCTTTCATGCTCAATGCTTTATCAAGTTGTTCTTCACTTGCACAATGTATCATTAAGTTGCCATCTGCCAATACTTTTGTTGAACGGATGTCACCCAACTTTCTTCCTAAGTCATCAGAAAGTGCAAACGGACTCGCTTTCTTCACACTAGCTACCGCAATAAATCTACTTATCTGCGGCTCCTCTCTTGATACAGACTGACTCATATCACTGCCACTACTATCATTTCTAACCCTTTTCCCTCGACGCACCTTTTGCCCACACTGCAACTCGCTGATGCCGAGCTCTTCCTCCTCCGCTTCTAAATCTACATCATTGCCTGCCCAACTGCCTACCTCTGACCCACTCACAGACAGATCCCTCTCAGGGAGAAGAACAGGCGGTGGACGGTTGGGGTTCAAAGCTCCCGCGTATTTGCCTCTTCCTCTACCAGCTGATGACGACGCCATTTCAAAGTCTCTTGCTCATCAATCAGTGCTACTGATCAGAGCAGCTGTAGAGCGGAGCCAGAGTGGCAAGGAAACAGCAGAGTTTGCGGCAGTAAAGTGTGAATTTAAAGAAAACCGAAGAATTTAAGAAGAAAAAAAGTTCAGGATGACAAGGGACACAAAAATCCACACACAAACTGACCTTTATGAAAGTTGTAGGTTCTCGGTCAGCTGAGGCTGTTTTAGTTTACATTGAGTTCTATGGGACTTTTTTCTGGGTAGCCCGCATGAATTTAGTCTGCAGTACCACGGACGCCCCCTGTGCCCATGGGTGGGACAGCTGTAAGCTAGTAATACCCTATCCAGTTATTATTATAGATCCATGGTTACATCTCGCTTCCTTGGTGTGACTGCTTTCAGTGGATGAGCAATAAGCACTAAAGCTATACAGATAAATGATGTGTCAACTGTTGATCTACAATTGTTTTTATATTTAAATATACTTGTATTCAATAGAGATAATACAAGTATATTGTATTCAAGTATTTTTTGAAAATGGGCATATTGCTTTTAATTTATACTTTGCTGCAGTAGCTAGGCTTTGAAATTGAAACCACAACACTATTGTTTTGGAGTTTTATTGACGGTGGAACAAGGCTTATTGCTTTTCATAAGCTGCAATTATTATTTCTGTCCACAAGATGTCAGTGTTACAAGCTAGTCTGAGTGGTCTAGCTCAGAGGCTCCGTCTGCGGACAAGTTCATCTGTTCTTCATGTACTCAGTGTAAGAGCAACAGGAGACATCAGAATCTGCCATATACCTCGAGAACAAGTCCGAGCACCTTAGTGCTGTGATTGGTGTTGAGTGATGAGACTTGATGAGACGGTATGGTGTAGTATGGTACTGTACAGTACAGTACAGGAGTGTTAGGACATTGTTATAGTTAAGTAAATACAATATGGTATATCAGCATTTAGATATTGCTTAATTACAGTACTTTGTTTTATTGTATAGAATAGTTTATTTCATAAATCATATCCTTTCCCTAAAGGTTTTTGCAAGAAATAAGAAAAAATAGTAAAATATCACTTGTATTTTATTGTTATTAATCTGGCCTATATGGGGGTTAAAATAGCCTTGGCCAGTTTATACCCGGGGGTATATTCTGGCCTAGGCTACTTTATATCCGGGTATATTCTGGCAGGGAGTTAAACTGGCCTGCTACACCGGTGTGTGTCTGTCTCTGTGTGTGTGTGGTTAATATTATAGATCCATGGTGGTTACATGTTTATGTGATATGGAGCAGTCCTGTGCCTAATTATAGCTAATTTTATTCATATGAAATACAAATAAAAACATCTCACTTCAATAATTACTTTGTTTCATAAACTCTATCTTATCTGTGGTGAAATCAGACACGTTGAGTGTGAAGTGGAACACGTTTGCTGATTTTCCTATTTGTCCCTTAGATCCATGGGTGTCCCATTTCGCACGGAGAATATGCTGCGAGTGCACTCCCCTATGGGAGGGAACTCACAACTCGAGTGCCCTCAGAATTTGGACGGGCCCTTAGTCTCATCCATAACATTTTTAAAGCTGGGGTCTGTAACTTTAGTCTCGTCAAAAAAGCAAGTGTGTTTAAAGCTGGGGTAATTTTAAAGCTTTTAAAGAGTGAGAGGAGGGGGAGAGCTGTGGTTTCCTGAGTCACTTCCTCTGCTCTCATTGATCACATGTGGTTATTGTTCATGAACAAAGAACAGTGTGTGATGTCACATAAAGAACAGACGACACAAGGATCAGACAAAGTGCAGTTTATCATCAGAAAATGAGACTTTGGACAAAAGTGGTTTTACAAATACTTCTCACAAAATTATAAACGCATTATAAATAAATCACAAACCACAAAAAGAGAAGGCACTTTACACAAGGCACATCCATGCCTGGTCTCAAATATGATAATATTAACTTATGATAACATTCACCCGTTTTCCTAAGGACCAGAGCGAGACCAGAGAGAGAGACAGAAAGAGCAGAGAGAGTGAGAGGCCAGAGAAAGAGACCAAAGAGAGACAGGAGAGAGAAAGAGAGAAAGATTAGCGAGAGAAACCAGAGAGAGAGACTAGAGAGAAAGACCAGAGAGTGGCCAGAGAAAGACCAGAGAGTGACCAGAGAGAGACCAGAGAGAGACCAGAGAGAGACCCAAGACCTGTGTGTTTTTTCAGTCTAAACCAGGACTTGAACCAGACTTAATGGGGCCTTTGTGGTCTCAGCTTACAGTCAACTGCCATTTAACTGGATCTGCAGAGACCAGAGTCTAGAGACCAGAGGGACCAGAGAGAGAAAAGAGACCAGACCATGGATCAGAGAGACCAGAGCGACCAGAGAGGGACCATACCAGAGACCAGTGACAACCTGGTCTGACAGCTGGATCAGACCTGGTTCTGGTCCTGGTCCTGGTCTGGTCTCATGTAGAGCCGGATCAGCCCGGCCTGGTGCAGCTGTTGCCATAGTAACAGCTCCAGTCTCAGGTCGTGGTTGATGAAGAAGCCGACGGCGTGAAACGATTTATCAAAGTAATGATCTGAGAATCTGGAGAATTCAGGAGTCATGAAACCATAAGCAGAGACCTGAGGAGACCAGAGAGGAATATCAGGTGAGGACCACAGACCAGAGACCAGAGAGTCCAGAGAGAGACTAGAAAGACCACCGAGAGAGGGACCAGAGAGAGACCAGAGAGAGACCAGATAGGCCTGGGTGATGTCACTCACCTGGTCACATGAGTGCATTGCCGACAACAGCATCACGGCTCCGGTTGATGGTCTGTACAGATCTTTGTATTTGGTGTTCAGAGCTTTGGACCGAAGGAACCTGAAGGAGAGGACACTGTCAAACCTGTCCCTATGACCTCAGTCCCTTTGACCCCTGACCTGATTTGTCCACAAGATGTCAGTGTTACAAGCTAGTCTGAGCGGTCTTAGCTAGCTCACCAATCTGACAAAGAAAGCCTCCGTGTATTACGGGGCTTCATCTGCCCATCACTGGTAGATATTTTTCTCAGAACTGTATTTAAGGACTGACGTCTGCGGAACAGTTCATCTGTTCTTCATGTACTCAGTGTAAGAGCAACAGGAGACATCAGAATCTGCCATATACCTCGAGAACAAGTCCGAGCACCTTAGTGCTGTGATTAGTGTCCCTGTAACCCCTGACCTCAGTCCCTCTGACCTGTTGCGCAGGTACCGGATGAAGTCTGGATGAAACATCTTCAGTTTCTTCGTTGCATCAGAACCAAACAATTGGACCGGACTAAGGAGTAAGGAGAATAGGACAGTATTAACACAATCAGACCCAATCAGACTGAACCAGACCCAACCAGACTGAACCAGACCCAACCAGATTGAACCAGACCCAAACAGACTGAACCAGAGTGTGAGTGTGGGTCTTACTCCAGGTCCTGGTCCTTCCCGCTCTGGACTTTGGTCCCAGTGGCCGCTGCCTTCAGCAGAAGATAATCTCTGTCATGGTCTGGAAGGAAGACGTACCGAGTCTCCTGCAACAATAGGAGAGTAAGCGTCATCAGCATCAGCAGCAGCAGCAGCAGCAGCAGCAGCAGCAGCAGCAGTTCATGTGGTAAATGTAATGTCCCACTTGGACTCTTCAGTGGCCTGGACCAGTTTATGGCTGTGAGCCAAGCCTATCTATCTTAAATAAAAAAAAAAAAACATCTATACAAATGTTCCACAGGCTTTTAAAAACGCGGTAATAAAACCTCTTTTGAAAAAAAACAAATCTTGATCCTGAATTAGTCACAAACTACAACCCCCCATTTAGTTAAACCTTACTTTTATATCTAAAATCCTTGAAAAGCTGATTACAAAACATTGAGGCTGCCACCTGCAGGAAAATAATATGTTTGAATCTTTCAATCAGGATTCAGAGCTCATCAAGCACTGAAACAGCACTAGTCAAAGTCACAAATGACTTACTACTAGCTGCTGGTAATGGACAAGTGTTGGTCCTATTGGATCTCAGCGCTGCATTTCACACAATAGACCACAGCATTCCACTGTGGAGGGTAGAATGTGACATCACTCAAGAGGAACAGCCTTTGGCTGGTTTAAATCCTATTTATCGTAATGATATTAGTTTGTCAATGTGAATCTAAACTCGTCGCCTTATTCGAAAGTAAAATTTTAGTGTGCTAAAAGGATCAGTACTTGGACCGATTCGTTTCACACTCAACATCCAAAAAGCATGATATTAACTTCTACTGCTGAGCATATTACACACAGCTTTACCTGTCGAATAAACCAAATCAAACAGATCAGTTAAAAAGGCTTAGAACCTGCATAAAAGACCTAAAAACATGAATGACTCTTAACTTTCTACTTCTTAACGCAGAGAAGACCGAAGTTATCCTGCTCGGTCCTGATCAGATCACACTCCATAATGTTAGCATAACACCTAGCATCACTGTAAGGAACTCTCCTTCAAGGCATATATAAGCCAAGCAACTAAAACTGAGTTTTTCACCTGCGGAACATCGCTAAAATCAGGAATATCCTTAAAGTGACGCAGAAAAACTAATTCACGCTTTTGTTAACACAAGGCTTGACTACTAAAATGCCTCCTGCTGGAAGCGTGCTCTAAATCCTCTATAAAGAGCTTCCAGCTCGTTCAAAATACAGCATCAAGGATCTGAACAGGCACCAAAGGGAGGGAGCACATAACTCCTGCGGTAAAATCACTCTACTGGCGTCTTGTGGAATATGGAATTAAATTCAAAAACCTTCTTCTAACATACAAAGCCATAAATAACATGGCTCCCTCCTGCCTCCAAGACACATTGGCGTCATACCAACCAAAACAAGCACTGCGCTTGTAAAACGCCAGACATCTGGTTGTTCTTAAAGTCTCAAAAAGCACTGTCAGCGGAAGAGCATTTAGCTCCAAGCTCGTTTACTGTGGAAACAGCTTCATCCACGTTAAGGAAGCAGACACAGTCTCTAGATTCAAGGCCAGGCTTAAAACAGTCCTCTTTATTTTAGCTTAGGGTATTTTATTTAGTTTTTTTTTTATTATTGTATTTCTTGTGTTGTACTGTTTCTCTGATCTGTGTTGGAAAATTCAACGGTTCTGTGAAGGCCTTTGAGATAACTACTGATTTAGGGCGATAAGAATAAATAGCTGGAATTGAAAACTAGCAGTGGCATCAGTAGCATTGGTACCAGTTCCAGTGGGGACCTCCTGGTGTAGTCCCTCTAGGCCCTCAAAATGTTCCTCAGATTCTTGTACCTGTGGTTCTGTTGTACCTGTCCCTGTGGGGGCCTGGTGTAGTCCCTGTAGGCCCTCAGACTGTTCCTCAGAGTGTTGGTGGAAAACACGTAGTGCGTCGTCCTGGAGCCGACATCTGCTTCAAATCCTTTGATGATCGCTCCGTTAACCCTGCACCAGAAACCAGAGACCTGGTCAGGACCAGGACTGGACCAGAGACCGGGTCAGGACCTGGAGTGTACCAGGGACCGGGTCAGGACCAGGACTGAACCAGGTCTAAACCAGGACTAAACCAGGTCAAAACCAGGACTGAACCGGGGCTATTGCTGATCCTACCTGAACACATAGTGGTGCTGGTCTATCTCTGGTCCTTTCCGTGAACCTTTTAGGATCCCTCCGTTCCCAACCACAGCACAGCGAATGCACTCTGACCCAGTATGGTCTGGTCCCACCTGGTCCAGGAGGAGACCAGCAGAGGAGTCCAGGCAGGAGAGGCTGTCTGCGAGGGCTGAGGGGGGGGAACACATGGTCAGTCACATGGTCAGAGAGTCACATGGTCAGTCACATGGTCAGAGGGTCACATGATCAGGTGGTCACAAGGTCAGTCACATAGTCAGAGGGTCACATGGTGCTCACTCTGGTAGGACACGCCCCCCCAGCCATGGGCCCCTGGGTATTGCTGTAGTCGATGGTACTCCTCTGGACTCAGGTGCTTGGACCATTGAAGAACCGGGACATCTGGTCTGAACCGAGACCCAAAGACCGAAAGTGGGACCAGCCGACGGACACTGACCGGACAGGCCTAGACCAGAGACCATAGAGGGAGACCAGAGAGTGCCCAGAGAGAGCCCAGAGAGAGACCAGAGAGAAAGACCAGATAGAGACCAGAGTTAGTTTGTGTGACGTCTTCAGTAAATCTCAGAACAATTTTACGTCTTGTTTACTTATACTCTACACTTCTCGGTTCTCCTCATTAGGAGCTGTGATGGTCCTGGTGATAGCCCCAGGACTCTCCTTTACCTCACACCTCCTGAGGGGTCAGGGGTCAAGGAGGACACTGCCTCCATCACAAGCTAACGACTTCTATTATATTCACTAACACCTGCGGAGCACCAGGACCTCACCGTCAGAGGGGCCACGTCCTCACGGTAATACGAGTCTCCAAGGAAGGAGGGTGCTGTGGGGGTGGGGCCAGGTCCAGTCTGATGCAGTCCTGGTTTAGAGGTCTGAACACGGACTGGAGTGGTCTCTGCTGAAGTGGTCTCTGCCGGAGTGGTCTCTGCCGGAGTGGTCTCTGCCGGAGTGGTCTCTGCTGGAGTGGTCTCTGCTGGAGTGGTCTCTGCTGGAGTGGTCTCTGCCGGAGTGGTCTCTGCCGGAGTGGTCTCTGCTGGAGTGGTCTCTGCTGGAGTGGTCTCTGCTGGAGTGGTCTCTGCTGAAGTGGTCCCTGCTGGAGTGGTCTCTGCTGGAGTGGTTGTTGGAAGTGTGGTTCTTCTGGCAGTACTGGTATTTGCAGTAGTGGGATCTCGTCTCCAATCCTGCCGTCCGGAGGGGGGATCTGAGCCAAAACTGGAAAAATCACAGAGACCAAAGAATACATTAATGTTTATTTGAACATTGAATAAAAACAACAGAGTAAGAACAAAAAAAACAAAACAAAAACAAATGACAATAAATACAAAACAACAACAAAATTCAATAAAACAAAAATGGGTGACATAGTAAAATGTCAATTAAAGTATCTTGACTTTAAAAGGTTATAAATCAAAAACTAGAAAAAGGATTTCAAACAAAGACATATTGATATAACAGTGTGGATAAAATCAAAAGAAAAGATTGTGGAATACATTTTTGGCAATAGTGCCTTGCAAAAGTATTCACACCCTTGGCTTTTTACCTATTTTGTTACATTACAACCTTTAGTTTTTAATCTGAATTTCATGTGATGGATCAGAAAACAATAGTCTAAGTTGGTGAAGTGAATTGAAAAAAATATATACATAAAACTATTTTTCAGAAATAAAAAACCGGAAATTGCCATGTGCATATGTATTCACCCCCTTTGTTATGAAGCCCATAAAAAGCTCTGGTGCAACCAATTACCTCCAGAAGTCACATAAACAGTGAAATGATGTCCACCTGTGTGCAATCTAAGTGTCACATGTTCTGTCAGTACATATGCACACCTTTTTTGAAAGGCCTCAGAGGCTGCAACACCTAAGCAAGAGGCACCACTAACCTTGAGAAGTACAAGTCAGGGTTTGGTTATAAAAAAATATTAAAATCTTTGATGATCCCCAGGAGCACCATCAAATCTATCATAACCAAATGGAAAGAACATGGCACAACAGCAAACCTGCCAAGAGACGGCTGCCCACCAAAACTCACGGACCGGGCAAGGAGGGCATTAATCAGAGAGGCAGCACAGAGACCTAAGGTAACCCTGGAGGAGCTGCAGAGTTCCACAGCAGAGACTGGAGAATCTGTACATAGGACGACAAGCCGTACGCTCTATAGAGTTGGGCTTTATGGCAGAGTGGCCAGAAGAAAGCCATTACTTTCACCAAAAAACAAAATGGCACGTTTTGAGTTTGCAAAAAGGCATGTGGGAGACTCCCAAAATGTATGGAGGAAGGTGCTCTGGTCTGATGAGACTAAAACTGAACTTTTCGGCCATCGAGGAAAACGCTATGTCTGGCGCAAACCCAACACATCACATCACCCAAAGAACACCGTCCCTACAGTGAAACATGGTGGTGGCAGCATCATGCTGTGGGGATGTTTTTCAGCAGCCGGGACTGGGAAACTGGTCAGAGTTGAGGGAAAGATGGATGGTGCTAAATACAGGGATATTCTTGAGCAAAACCTGTACCACTCTCCGCGTGATTTGAGGCTAGGACAGAGGTTCACCTTCCAGCAGGACAACGACCCCAAACGCACTGCTAAAGCAACACTTCAGTGGTTTAAGGTGAAACATGTAAATGTGTTGGAATGGCCTAGTCAAAGCCCAGACCTCAATCCAATAGAAAATCTGTGGTCTGACTTAAAGATTGCTGTTCACAAGCACAGACCATCCAACTTGAAGGAGCTGGAGCAGTTTTGCAAGGAGGAATGAACAAACATCCCAGTGGTAAGATGTAGCAAGCTCATAGAGACTTATCCAAAGCGACTTAGAGCTGTGATTGCCGCAAAAGGTGGCTCTACAAAGTATTGACTTTAGGGGGTGAATAGTTATGCACATAGACCTTTTCTGTTATTTTGTCCTATTTGTTGTTTGCTTCACAATAAAAAAAGACAACATCTTCAAAGTCGTGGGAATGTTCTGTAAATGAACTGATGCAAATCCTCAAACAATCCATGTTAATTCCATCCATCCATCCATCCATTTTCTACCCTTTAATCCATTTCTGGGTCAGGGGGGTGGCAGTCAGAGATGCCACCCAAGTCTCATAGCACCAGCCCCTCACTGATCCTCTGCAGGTGGTGAGTCCACAGGAGGACGGCTGCTCTCTGAGTGTGAGCATAGCCTTGATCTTTCAGTGGGGGCTTTGGGCAAAGTGGGGTTAAGTGTCTTGCCCAAGGACACAACGACAGCAGTCATCAGCGGGAGTCGGTGGAGAAGGTGTAGAGGTGGGAATTGAACCCACGACCTTCAGGCCTGAAGGCCAATGCTCTACCAACTGAGCTACTGTCGCCCCTGTGGAATGTTAATTCCATTTAAAAAAAATATTACATAAAAATGTAAATGACACTTGAAAAATGTGCAACGAATGTGATGGTTTCCGTCATTTTTTTCCTAAAAATTTAACTTGAACATGATCATCTGGTTTCACATTTAAATGGTTTCCTACATGTACATTATAGTAAAAAAATTAAAATAAATACTGGTAAAAAATATTGTGACCCTATACTAATGAATTATGAAATAAAATGTCAATAAAATTGTTTTTATAACCTAACTATGTTATAACTTTCATAAATTTTTAGCACTGAGATTATTATCCGAGTTACATACATTTGAGCTGTTTGAAATTGAACTTTGTGAGTTTTAACAGTAAGAAAAGTGAGTGAGTATGATCCAAATAGCCTGCATTAGGTGTTTTCCGTAATGCCCTTTTTTGTAGAATCAGTAGTGGTTTTATTGAACTCATTTAATTATTTCCCCAGATCTCTGAACAGTAACTGAAATATGGTAAGACAATGGTACAGTATATGTTGCTGAGTGACGTAGCGTCTAGTTGTACCTGTTTTGCTTTATTTAATATTGCGATGCTCTTGACAGTTTAGTCTGTATATATTTGATATGTAGTTTCCAGGTGATTTGATCATTTATTATAATCCTAAATAAGTTATTTAGGATTAAAACCAAAGGCAACCTCATCTAACATTAATTGCACTTGCTCTTCAGATCGGTTGTTCCTGAATAACATAATTTTGGTTTAGTTTAGATTTAGTGAAAATTTATTCCTGTCAAACCATAATTTCCTTTTGCTCATATCATTTTTAATTATAATTACTTTAATTATCTCCTGTGTCATCAGCAAACAACACCAGCTTTAATTTCTGTGAGAAAACATAAACATAGTTTATATACAAAATAAACAATTTAGGGCCCTCCACTGACCCCTGGGGGACACCACAGACAATGTCCAGATAGAGACCAAAGAAAAACAAGAGAGATACCAGAGGGAGAGACTAGAGAGTCCTGAGAGAGTGACCAGAGATACCTGAGAGAGTGACCAGAGAGACTAGAGAGAGACCAGAGAGACTAGAGAGAGACCAGAGAGACCTGAGAGAGTGACCAGAGAGAGAGACCAGAGGGAGATACCAGAGAGAGACCCAAGACGGCGGCACGGTGGCAGAGTGGATAGCACTCTCGCCTCTCAGCAAGAAGTTCCTGGGTTCGAATCCCGGTCGGACCAGGGCCTTTCTGAGTGGAGTTTGCATGTTCTCTCTGTGTCTGCGTAGGTTTCCTCCGGGTACTCCGGTTTCCCCTACCACTAAAAATATGTCTAATAGTTCTAGCATGCGCCTCCTGTACTGGCGACCCCGCTCCCATCTCTGTGTGGAGTGAGAGAAAAATGCCCAAAATTAACAATTGTAAACCGCTTTGAGACTCAGATCTGCAGTGAAAAGGCGGTATATAAATAAAGATTACTTACTACTACTACTACTACCAAGAGGGACCAGAGAGAGAGCAGTGAGACCATGCAGGGACCAGAGAGAGAGACCAGAGGTAGACCAGGGAGAGATCAGAGAGAGACCAGAGAGAGATCAGAGTGACCAGAGAGAGATCAGAGAGACCAGAGAGAGATCAGAGAGACCAGAGAGAGATCAGAGTGACCAGAGAGAGATCAGAGAGACCAGAGAGAGATCAGAGAGACCAGAAATTAAAGAGGGACCAGAGAGTGACCAGAGATGCAGAAACACAAAGTTGAAGACAATGAAATTACTTAATTAATAAAACACAGAACTTTGTGTTGAAACAGCAGCAAGACAGGGCTTCAAAGTTACGGACAGAGACTGTTATACGAACATGTAACTCACACTGTTGTGATAAAGCAATAAAACAACGCTCCTCGTAATCGGAGGCCTCTTTGTTTAGTTCCGCTCTGAGAAACTTCCTCCTGACCTCAATGAAAACTGAATTATGTCTGACACAAACACACACATACACCCTAACAAACACACACACACACACACACACACACACACACACACATACGAACACACACACACATAAATGATAATCCAATTTCCCTCTGGTCCCTGTGTCTCATGTCTCTGGTCCCTGTGTCTCATGTCTTTGGTCCCTGTGTCTCATGTCTTATTTGGTCCCTGTGTCTCATGTATTTGGTCCCTTTGACTCATGTCTCTGCTGTTGACATAAACACTGGCATGTGCTCTAGAGATCGACAGCTGCGTGCACATGTCCCACTGAGTTCTGAACTCACGGCTAAACCAGACAGTGAACCTCTCCCTGAACTGACCCTGCCGCCAGGCTCCTGAAGGGGGCGGTGCTCAGCTGCAGGTTCAGACACAGCAGATAGAGAAGGAGCAGAGAAGAGGCTGTACCCAGGCCCACCAGCAGGCGGCGCTGCAGAGCCATGCGCAGGCCTGCAACACACAACAAGAGAAGTCACACATGAGCAAGGGGGAAGTGTGCCCCAGGGGTCCATCCTTGGACCTGTTCTCTTTCTACAGACTTACAGTTTTTTTTCCTATCGCTTGAACACTCTGGACACATGATTAGACTTCTACTTAACCAAAACACAGTCTTACCATTCCTTAAACAGAATTACTACTTTGCACTTTCCTTTCAGACAGACATAAAGAGGCCTCGGTTTAGTCATTTTCAAAACTTTGTAAGTCTGAACGCAGGAAGAGCAAGAGGTAGAGGAAGAGGAAGAGAGAGGAGGAAGTCGTGGTTGAAGATATTTCTAATGACATTAGAGCAACTTTGGTGGATCATGTGATCAATCATGGCCTCACACTGAGGGAAGCAGAGAGTCACATGGAAACATGTCTTCGACTCTCTACTGCAGACTGTACCTACAGTATCTACAGTACTGTACTGTGTCACATGTACTGTAACTCTACTGCAGACTGTACCTACAGTATCTACAGTACTGTACTGTGTCACATGTACTGTAACTCTACTGCAGAAAGTATCTACAGTATCTACAGTATCTACAGTATTTACAGTATCTGCAGTATCTACAGTACTGTACTGTGTCACATGGACTGTATTGTTAGTTGGCTATTGCTCCTTTGGAACATTATTCACGTTTGATTTGATTTATTCGAGCTTACATATTTACAATGTCTTTTAAACATGTGCATGCATTGTTACAGTATATGCATTGACATTAAACAAAATACATGTTAGTAATAATACATGACATATGTCAAAAATGTTATACAAAGCTTGAAAAAAGAGAAGAAGTAAACTTATGTACTCCCACCCACTCTGATTACAAAAATAAGCAGTTACGATATTTTATATTAACATACAGTACATTTACACACCACTGTTTATCAATTACAAGAATGTGGCAACTGAATTCAGAACTACATCATTATAGCACGAAGTGCATTCAATTTGATGAGAAAATAAGTAAAAGATTAAATAATTCAAAATGTCATAATAAATACACAGATTCTTATTAGGGTCAATTTATAGAATTGCCCTGTTCTTCCATTCTATATTTTGAAAACACAAATTCTCTGTAATTTGTTTATAATTGATTCACTGTTGTCCAAGTCCATTCCAAACTTAAACTCCACAAACAGAAACAAACATTTTTCTCCTAGTGGTCCTAGAAACCTTTACTTTGAGTTTTCCAAATCCCCTCAGACTGTAACCTCCATTTCTTTCTGCAAAGAGTCTTTGGATAATTGCCGGCAACATACTGTATATTTACTTGCTTTGTACAGGAGTTGTGCTGTATAGTTATAGTTTTGTGAAACATGCACTACAGTAGAGTACATAGTACTGTACCATTGAGATGTCACAGTACTGTGTACAGTATAGAGAACTTTCATGGTTGTTGAAAAAACATTTGTTGAGAACAAAAATAGTTCCTTGAGCTTCTAAAACTAACTAATAAACGGAATAAAGACACTGAAAAGTAAAGACTGCAGTGTTTTATAAAAAGTCCTCACGTATGTTGCTCCCAATCTGAAAGTGTGTTCCCATGATGCAAGTGTCGTGTGTATCATTTTGTCCTCAGAGTTTCAATTTGACAAAGGAATGTTTAGTTTTGAGAGCAGAGTTTGAGTTTTAATCGTAGAGTTTAAGTTTTAATTATAGAGTTTGAGTTTTAATCGTAGAGTTTTATTTTGAGACAGAAGTGAATGGTTCATGTCCCAGTGTTGTGTCAGAGGTTTGGCACAATGTGCAAAATTTAACCAAAATGTGTTCAAACAATAGTACTGTACAATACTGTACACAGTAACAACATATACGCTAGACCTGCTTTAGACCTGCTTAGTCCTGCTTAGTCTTGCTTAGTCTTGCTTTAGACCTGCTTAGTCCTGCTTTAGACCTGCTTTAGGCCTGCTTTAGACCTGCTTAGTCCTGCTTTAGTCCTGCTTTAGTCCTGCTTTAGTCCTGCTTTAGACCTGCTTAGTCCTGCTTTAGTCCTGCTTTAGACCTGCTTTAGACCTGCTTTAGTCCTGCTTTAGACCTGCTTTAGACCTGCTTTAGTCCTGCTTTAGTCCTGCTTTAGACCTGCTTTAGACCTGCTTTAGACCTGCTTTAGACCTTCTTTAGTCCTGCTTTAGACCTGCTTTAGTCCTGCTTTAGACCTGCTTTTGTTCGGCTTTAGTCCTGCTTTAGGCCTGCTTTAGGCCTGCTTTAGACCAGTTTCCAACCTGATTTAGTCCTGCTTTAGACATGCTTTTTTCCGGCTTTAGTCCTGCTTTAGTCCTTCTTTAGACCTGCTTTTGTTCGGCTTTAGTCCTGCTTTAGTCCTGCTTTAGTCCTTCTTTAGACCTGCTTTTGTTCGGCTTTAGACCTGCTTTAGACCAGTTTCCAACCTGATTTAGTCCTGCTTGAGTCCTGTTTTAGTCCTGCTTTAGACCTGCTTAAGGCCTGTTTTAATCCTGCTTTAGACCTGCACTACACCGTTTTAGTTCTATTTGGTTTCATGTTGCTTTTTAACATTTCATCACTTCCTTCTCACATGTTTCGTCTCTTTTTCCATCAATATTTATAGAGTGGACTCAGAGCAGTTTCCTCTGAGTCTGAAGTTCTGGACCGACACCAGACTGCAGTAAAATGTAATAGTGGTCGTTATAGTTGTAGTTATAGTTATAGTCAATAAAGTCATAATATAGTAATAATACGTGTAATAGTAACAACAGTTGTTTTCTGAAGCAGCAGAAAACTCTCTGCTTCTTGTTCAAACTTGTGGTCGCAGCCTTTTGTCTACGCGCGTCACTTCTTCTTAAACTCTTTCTACACCACTTCCCTCTCCCTTAAACCAGGTCCAGACCGTGTCCAGACCAAGTCCACACCCAGTACAGACCCAGTCCGGACCTAGACCTGTTCTGGTCCACTTTTAGTTCTTTTGCAAGAGTAGAAAGCGCTTGAGACTTTACCGTTAAGCTGCGCCTCTGTATGGCTGCATTCTCCGCCTCCGCCTGGGGTCTGGACCGGGTCTGAACCAAATCTGGAAAGGGTCTGGTCTCTGGGTGTTAGGTCTCTGGGTCCCAGGTCTCAGATCTCCGGTTTAGTCCACTTTTGACCCCTTCAGACTGATCCTGTCGCGTGCGTAAAGTCGCGAGTGAAACGGAGACGCGCTGAAGACGCAGCAGAAGGAGAGGGCGTGGTCCCAGGGGAATGGGCGTGGATCTCTATGAGAGACGCGCCCACATTCCCACGCGTGGCCCCGCCCCACAGTGTGATTGACAGCAGACAAACTTTCACACTCAGCAGACAAACTTTCACACGTTTGAAACACTCACCATTTTAGGCTTAAAGTTGTGGATTATTGCTCTCGGTGACCCTGCTGTATGTATGTGATATTGTCTTTGTAAATCTAGATATGACCATATAAGGACTGACCAATCAGAGGCCTTCATTCAGGGAAAACTCCAGCTCGCCTTAGCAACCATGGATCGCTATCAGACTCAGAACTGCTCATTTAAGGAAATGTGATGTCACACTCAGTCCTGATATACAGATCATGTGGGTGGCTCATGAGCCTCTCAGCAGAAGGTCCTGGGTTCGCATGAGTTTGCATGTTCTCCCTGTGTATGTTTCTTCCAGGTGCTCCGGTTTACCTTACCACTAGCACACATACACATTCCATACCAGAGCATTCTGTCATCAACATGTGGAGTCATGAGCTTTGTGTGACTTTTGTCAGTGAAATTATGCTTGAGTTATGGTCTCTCTCTCTGGTCTCCTTCTATGGTCTTTCGCTCTACAAACTTTTCCCACAAACATTTAGAGGTTTTTACAACGACAGAAAAACACAATTTATGACTTTGTTTTGACACAAACTGTAATGAATCTATTTAACTTCACACATATGCACATACACACGCGCACACACACAAAGACACAAACACAGCGACACACACAGAATGATTCAAACAAACATCCAAAAAACAGTTTTTAATGAATTATTTTTTACAGATTTTGCTTTTACTTCTACATCTCATGTTTCTGTTTCAGAAATCAGGTCTGAACCAGGTCTCCTTTAAGTAACAGAATGTGAGCTGTTTGGGTCCCCACTCTGTAATTATGTCAGCCACGGGCGAGTCCAGACCAGGACCAGACTTCTCTCTGGTGTTTCTTGCTCTGGTCTCTCTCTGGTATCTCTCTCCGGTCTCCCTCTCTGGTCTCTCTGGTCTCCCTCCCTCGCTCCGATCTACATTTCTGGTCTCTCTGTTCTGCCTCTCTATGGTCTCCCTCTTGTTCTGGTCCTGGTCTCCTCCAATAGATCTATGGTCTCCTCTCACTTCTGCAGCAGCTGTTTCCTCTGTTGCTCCCACAGTGCCTCCAGGTGGTCGGCTCGCTTCACTGCAGCCTGAAACAAAATGAAATCTGGTGGTGAGAGGGGGACTGACGTCTGACCTCTGGGGTCAGCAGTAGGACTGGCAAGGCAAGTTTATTTGTATAGCACAATTCAAAGTGCTGAACAAAGATAGCATTAAAATCATAAATAATCACTGTACATTAAAAAGAAAGATAAAAATATAAAATATAAAATCCCTCAGTTGTATGCACAGCTAAACAGAACTGTCTTTAACCTGGTTTTAAACATTGTCAGAGAGGAGGCCTGTCTCACATCTTCAGGAAGATTGTTCCAGATTTTAGCAGCATGAATCTGAAAAGCAGCCTCCCCATGTTTAGTTCTGACTCTGGGCACTAACAGGAGTCCAGTCCCTGTGCTCCTCAGAGTCCGGGCTGGTTCATATGGGACTAACATGTCACTAATATATTTTGGTGCGAGGCCATGGAGAGACTTGTAACAAGCAGAGCTGTTTTAAAGTCTATTCTCTGAGCCACAGGAAGCCAGTGCAGAGACCTGAGGACTGGACTAATGTGGTCGTACTTCCTGGTTCTAGTCAGGACTCGAGCTGCTGCATTTTGAATGTACTGCAGCTGTTTTACAGCCTGTTTGGACAGACCTGTGAGCAGGCCATTGCAGTAGTCCAACCTACTGGAGACAAATGCATGGATAAGAATCTCCAAGTCTGCTTTAGACACTATGTTTTTGATCCTGGCAATGTTTTTTAGATGGTAAAAAGCTGCTGATGTTACTGATTTGATGTGGCTATTAAAATTTAAGTCTGAGTCCAGTATTACCCCTAGATTTCTGACCTTGTTTGAAGGTTTTAGGGAGAGATTGACCTCTGACCTCTGGGGTCAGCAAAGGACTGACCTCTGACCTCTGGGGTCTACAGAGGTCTGACCTCTGGGGTCAGCAGAAGACTGACCTCTGGGGTAAGACTGTCCTCTGGGGTGAGCAGTCGGACTGACCTCGTACTGTTGACGCAGACTGTTGACAGTTTCCTCTTTCTTCAAAATGGCCGCCTTCACCCTGAGAAACACAATGAGAATCAGTAAAACGTCTGCAGCAGGATTTACTCCAGGGTCTGCAGGAGTTACCTCTGGTGGACCTCCTGGAGCTCCTTCTCCTTCTCTGCTCTCACTCTCTGCACTTCCTCCTCCTTCTCTGCTCTCACTCTCTGCACTTCCTCCTCTTTCTCTGTTCTCACACTCTGCACCTCCTTTTGCGCCTCCTCCTGCTCCACTCGCAGCTTGGCCTTCAGTTCACAGACACTGTTCTTCAGACGTCGGTTTTCTTCTTCAGTTTGAACCAAACGATCTGCAAACTCCTGACGAACCACGTCTGACACACACTGACGCTCTGAGGACATCTGCTGGTACTTCTGAGAGGGACACACAGACACAAACTGACGCTCTGAGGACATCTGCAGATACCTCTGAGGCACATAACACACTGACACTGCTGGTACCTTTGAGAAGGACACACAAACACACACTGATGCTTTGAGGACATCTGCTGTTATCTCTGAGAGGGACACACAAACACACACACACACACACACACACACAGACGCTCTGAGGACATCTGCTGATACCTCTGAAACACACAAACAAACACACACACTGAGACGCACACAGAGACACATACAGACACACACTGAGACACACAAACTGGAGGACCACCTCAGTCCTGGACTTGTGGTCTCCTCCTTCGGCTTCAGCAGCTCCTACCTCCTGGAGGGTGTTTGTTGTCTCCTGCTGCCGTCTCAGCTCTGCTCTCAGCCTCAGCACCTCCTCTTCTCGCTGGAGGAGGTGCTGTTGCGTCTCCTGGTTTTTCTGCAAGAGGTTCCTCTCAGAGTTCTCCATCTGCTGCAGCTGCTGCTCGTTCTGCTGCGTCACACGCTGGAGTCTGAGAAACACAGAAGTCTGAGCGGTGTCTGCAGGGACAGTGTGTGAGGTCATCACCTCTGACGCTCTGCCCTGTGCCAGCTGAGCCGCCTGCTCCTCCTCCTGGTCTTCTCCACCTCACCTTTAATCAGCTGCCTCCTCCTCCTCCTCATCTCTTCCTTGTCCTCCTTCGCCTCACCTGTACTCAGCTGCTTGCTTCTCCTTGTCGCGCTCCTTCCTCGTCTCCTCCTCTAAGTTTCTCAGCACCTCCTCGATCTGTTTGTCCCTCTCGTTCCTCAGCGCTTCCCTCAGTTCGCGCTCTTTGGTGCGGAGCCACGCCTCCTGTGATCAGAGCGTCCAATCAGAAGAGAGACTTATTCGCCACATGATTAAATACTGCAGCAGATGCCACAGGACTGAGATTGGTCCAGTCCTGGTCCAGACCCAGTCCAGGCCCAGTCCAGACCTGATTCAGTCCTGTTTCAGACCTAATCCTGGTTCAGACCCAGTTCAAATCTGGTACAGACCAGATTCAAACCTAAGTCAGACTTGGTTCAGATGCAGTACCTGTTGGCTCCTGTAGGTGTCCTCCCATGTCTGTCGCTCCAGCTGCACTCTGTCCTGAAGAGACTTTAACTCCATCTGAGAGAGACATTACAGCAGCACTAGTAGAAGTAGTAATAGGAGTAGAAGCAGAAGTAGTAGTAATAATAGTAGCAGTAGTAGTAATAATAGTAGTAGTAGTAGCAGTAGCTGCAGTAGAAGCAGCAGTAGCAGTACTCGTACCTGATGTCTCCTCTCCTGCTCCTCTCTGCTCCTCTGCACCTCCTCTCTCAGAGCTCTTCCAGCCACAGAACTGTTCTCCTCCAGATGTTTCCTTAGTTCCTCCATCTCCTGACGCTGACTGCAGCAGGCAAACTGATGTTAGCTTCTGATGATAGCTCTACAGAGACACTAGCTCCTGATGACTCCTGATGTGTTACCGTGACGACAGCTGGGCTAGTCTCTCCTTCTCCTCTGACACCTCTTTGTACATGCGCCTCCTCTGCTGCTGCAGGGACAGCTCTTCCTCTTGGAGAAGCTTCTCGTATCTGAAACATAGACTGTATATATTAACGGACAGAGTCACGCCTATCTCTGCCGTTCAAACAAATGAGCCAAAAATGTTGCTCTACTGGAGCTATCCAAAATGGCCTCGAGTGGTCCCGCCCACAAGAAAATTGTGAAAAAAACGCATCTGCGCATGCGTCAGCTGGCGAGAGCCCCATTCATTTGAACGAGAGACTTCAAAAATTCACAGCGACTAAACCAGAGTGGTCCAAAAAACTTCACTCCCCTCAGCATCGACACACATGTGGAACGGAGCTTTGGGCCAAGAGCCAACTTTTGGACCATCCTGTAAAGATGTTTCGAGAGGTAAGAAGATGCTATATGTTAGCGTTGGCTAATTCTTATTCCGGGTCCACCCCCATCGGCCCAGGGTGGTAATTGCAAGCATGTCAGCGCACGTCATTTTGGCCACTTTTGAGCCGGGACCCGCCCCCACTCGTCTGAAAGCAGAGCTGTTTGAACTGAAGCAGAAAGAGGAGAGAGGAGGTGAAGAGGAGGTGCGTCTGACCTGGTCTTGGCCTCCTGCCGCTCCCTCTCACATTCCTCTTCCTTCTCCTTCTGGAGCCGCTCCTTCAGCTCCTCCTTCTCCTTCTGCAGCCGCTCCTGCAGCTCCTCCGTCAAGTGGGTGTACCTCCTTGCCGCTCTCTCATCGGCCTGCAGCAGCTCAGCCTCGTGCAGATGCCGAAGTTTGTTTATGTCCTGTTTGTGCTTCGAGATCATTCTCTGGATCTCTGGCTCCAGACCTGAGAGAGGAGAGCTCTAAAGCAGGTCTAAAGTAAGTCTGAAAAAGTACTAAAGCAGGTCTAAAGCAGGTCTAAAGTAGGACTAAAGCAGGTCAAAAGAAGGTCTAAAGCAGGTCTGAAGGACTAAAGCAAGTCTAAAGCAGGACTAAAGCAGGACTAAAGCAGGTCTAAAGCGGGACTAAAACAGGTCTAAAGAAGGACTAAAGCAGGTCTAAAGTGGGACTAAAGCAGGTCTAAAACAGGTCTAAAGTGGGACTAAAGTAGGTCTAAAGCTGGACTAAAGCAGCCTCACCCTTCACAGTGATCTCCTTGATCTTCTTGGTTTTCTCATCGACCCATTTCTCTCGTCGTACTTTCTCTGTCGCAGCCATCAGCTCCTTCAGCTTCTGCATCTCCTGTGGGAGGGGTTTGGTCATCTCATTTTCAAAAATACTTCTGTTGTTATGAGTTTAGTCTGAATGTAAAGGAGGAGAGGGAGGAGAGTAGAGAGGAAAGAGGGGAGAGACAGTACAGAGGAGATAGGAGAGAGAGAGGAAAGAGAGCAGAAAGGAGAAAGATGAGAGAGGAGAGTGAGTAGAGTTGTAGTAGGACCTTTTTTTAAATTATTATTATTATTTACTATTTTTATGACTATGATTATTTACTTATTTATTGATCCATTTATTATTTTGAGATTCTCTGCCCATCACAAGGCAAAAGGGGATACGGGGAACAAAAAGGGGATAAAAAGTAAAGTGTGATGCATGCCAACCAGTGCAAAATGTAAATACATTGTCACACTTGAATAAAAAAATTGATCACAAAAAAAAGAGAGAGGAGAGAGAGAGTAGAGTAGAGTAGGAGGAGACCCTGGTCAGGGTCAGGGGTTCTCACCATGCGGTGCTGCTCCTCCTGCCTCTGAATCTTCTGGGAGAATTTGGAGTCGACGAGTTTGAGCTGAGACACGACCTCCTCACAGCGAGAGGAGAGAGACTTCTTATCAGAGATGAGCTGAGGGTCAGAGGTCACACGTCAGGGACAGAGAGTGCGGCAGGAGCAGTAGTAGCAGTAGTAGCAGCAGTTGCAGCAGTAGCAGTAGTAGCAGTACCTGGTCGATAAACAGCAGGTGGCGCTGTATGGTGCTCTCATACTGCTCTTTCTGCAGAGTCAGGTTTCTGTTCAGTTCAGTCTCTGTTTGATGAATGTGACGCACGGTGAGCTCCCTCTGCTGGACCTGGAGGGAACAGCAGAGGAGAATTGTGTGTATTGTGTGTCTGTGTCTGTGTGTGTCTGTGTGTGTGTGTGTCTCACCAGTGCATTCTGTAACATATACACAGAGTATTTCTTCTCGTTCAGCTCAAGTCTGATCTTCATCATGTCCTCTCTGAGTTCTGCTGATGTGGCCTGCACCTCCTGCGAGACTTGCACCTCCTGCGAGACCTGCACCTCCTCCGAGACCTGGGGGACAGACATTTTGGCCTAGATGGACAGATTTTTTGGCTCAGTTGGACAAACAGTTTGCCTCAGATGGACAGACATTTTGGCTCAGATGAAGCACCTGTGTGAGAGGGCGCTCCTCCATCTCGTCTAAGAAGCTCATGATGTTTTGCAGTTTGGCTTCAGTCAGAACAGCGCCACCATCAGGAGCAGGACAGAAGTGTAACTGCAGGTTCTCCACCGTGAGGGAGGAGTCCTGAAAGGAGTCAAGAGTGAGGGAGGAGAAGTCCTGAGAAGGAGTCAAGAGTGAGGGAGGAGGAGTCCTGAGGAAGAGTCAAGAGTGAAGGAGGAGGAGTCAAGAGTGAAGGATGAGTAGTCAAGAGTGAGGGAGGAGGAGTCCTGAGGAAGAATCAAGAGTGAAGGAGGAGGAGTCAAGAGTGAAGGAGGAGTAGTCAAGAGTGAGGGAGGAGGAGTCCTGAGGAAGAGTCAAGAGTGAAGGAGGAGGAGTCAAGAGTGAAGGAAGAGTAGTCAAGAGTGAGGGAGGAGGAGTCAAGAGTGAGGGCGAGAAAATGACCATAGGGTGCAGAAGGACTGTCTCCTCCACAGCTGCAAGAGGTGCCTCGCCCACCGCTGCAGGAGGTGCATTCTCCCCAGCAGTAGGAGGTGCTCCTCCTCCTCTGCAGCAGGAGGTGCTTCCTCCACGGCAGCAGGAGGTGACTCCTCCACAGCTGCAGGAGGTGCCTCCTCCTCAGTACCTGTGCTGCTGTGTGGCCCCTGGGTTCCTCCTCCAGCTCTTTCAGAGAGTCCAGCAGCTCCTTCAGAGTGTTCTGAGGCTCCTCTTGCTTAGGACTGTGGTCTGCTCCCTCCACCCACGGCCTGGGACCACTGAGACCAGTCTGGGTCTTGGGACCACTGAGACCAGTCTGGGTCTGAGCTTTGGGACCACTGAGGCCAGTCTGGGTCTGAGGCCTGGGACCACTGAGACCAGTCTGGGTCCTGGGACCGCTGAGACCAGTCTGGGTCTGAGTCCTGGGACCGCTGAGACCAGTCTGGGTCCTGGGACCACTGAGACCAGTCTGGGTCTGAGTCCTGGGACCGCTGAGACCAGTCTGGGTCTGTGGCCTGGGACCACTGAGACCAGTCGGGGTCTGAGGCCTGGGACCACTGAGACCAGTTGGGGTCTGAGTCCTGGGATTCCATGGACTGAGTGGAGCCGGTGACACTGGTCTGAACACCAGCTCTGACTCTACATCTGAGGAAATAACACAAGTTTAAAGCTGGGGTCTGTAACTTAAATCTCATACATAACACATTTTTAAAGCTGGAGTCTGTAACTTTAGTCTCCTAAATAAGAAAGAGCCCTGTGAGTCACTATCTGCCTCTTTGGGCTGAGAGCTGATTGGCTGAGTGATCAGCTCTCAGCCCGTATCTTTGACCTAAAGATGTGACATCACAAATAAATGATGTGAATTCTTGTATTACCTGTCAGTAACAGGAAGTCACATACCAGGACTTTGGCTAAAGCTGCAGAGTTTAAGAATGAAAATGTGTAAAGGCAAAAACACACTCTGACCTGCGGTATTGGGAGCAGCAGTAGTATTTGCAGTAGTATTTGCAGTAGTATTTGCAGTGGTAGGATTGGAGTAGGAAGTCTTCTTTTGGCACACATTGGGTGGTTCTGGTTCTGTGAAGAGCTGCTCAAACTGAGAAATACAAAAGTGTGTTAAACATGTCCCCACAATGTAGTCCACAAGAGTCCCCATAATGTTACATACATTATAAGGATATATCTATTAGGGCTGTCAAAATTATCTCGTTAACGCACGTTCTTGCAATTTTTTCATTAATCGTTTGACGCATGTGCCGAATGACCCGCCCATGCATCCCATAATAACACTCAGAAGTGCCGCGGACACATGCGTGTGTAAGATGGCGACAGAGCAGGAAGGCATTAGTTAGCATTATCACTTCTTATAAGCTGTACAGCCATCACTGATAAAATGGTACAAAAGCAACGTACTGCTCCCGCAGGTCTCTCCAGCGAAGATACAATGTTATGGAGGACCAAAAATGACTAAAGTATAAATAAATAAATAAATAAATACAGGAGTATATTAATAAATACATTCATTTTGGACAATAAAAACTAAATATTTACATTGATATGCTAAATATTACTCTGAAATCTAATAAATATACTTTTATTTACGTTATTTATCAAAATCTACATTTTTTCCTTTATCCATTTATTGCATATATTTATTTATGTATTTCTACATTTCTTCATTTATGTATTTCTGTGTCGCTGCATTTCTTCATTTATTTATTTATGTATTTCTACATTTCTTCATTTATTTATTTATGTATTTCTGTGTCGCTACATTTCTTCATTTATTTATTTATGTATTTTTGTGTTCCTGTATGCTAATTAGGTGGGCGGTGCTGAACTCAATCTAGAACAGGATTGGTTAGGATTGCGTGAACTCTGGTCTCGATCATTCCTGCCTCACATTACGGTACTCTGTTAGCTAGCTAGAGATCCTCTGTGCACTTTTGTGTGGTATGATGGCAGTTTCGAATGTAAGTTTTTTAGGAGCCATTGCTCATCAATTAAGAGCATTAGCAAATGATGTTAATGATGTTGAGCATAATGCACCTGAGGACTATCTACTCTTTCAGCTGGAAAGACTATTAGATGTTTTAGTTCATCACAGTGCTGACCCAGAGGTAGACTTTGATGCAACTGTGCTGGACGCTCTTCAACAAGCAGCAGCTTCACATCCTCTCACAAACCGAGAAGGCTAAAGCCTAGCGTACATCGGACTGGCAACTGATTATAGCCGTCGCATATGAGTTGCTGCCCCGCACACATCGACAATCTGACGAAAACGGGCAACTCCCAGTAGCAGACCAGTCTCGGGAATAACAGCGCGTACATCGACAGCAACTTGCCTCAACTACAGTGTGTTTTCTGACATAAACTGTTGCGGGCTCGCAACACACGCAATACACACACGTTGTCGGAGCGGCGCATGGAGCGCGCACATCGGGTCATATCTCGAAAACTGAGGACAACTAGTTGCCGAAAAGTAGAACACAGGCAACTGACTGAAACTGGAGACCGACTGTTCATCTCCAGTTGTAAGAGCGCGCACATCGACTGATTTCAGCAACTGATCATCTCCATCATCTCCTCTCAGTTGCCAAAAGCCGCCTTGCAACTTGTCTCCAGTTTCTCTGTCGATGTACGCTAGGCTTAACTTTGCTTCTGTCTGGTTGCCCTGGCTGACCTACTGCCCACCAATCCTGTTCTAGATTGAGTTCAGCACCGCCCGCCTAATTAGCATACAGGAACACAGAAATACATAAATAAATAAATGAAGAAATGTAGAAATAAATAAATGAAGAAATGTAGAAATACATAAATAAATAAATGAAGAAATGTAGAAATACATAAATAAATAAATGAAGAAATGTAGAAATACATAAATAAATAAATGAAGAAATGTAGAAATACATAAATAAATAAATGAAGAAATGTAGAAATACATAAATAAATAAATGAAGAAATGTAGCGACACAGAAATACATAAATAAATAAATGAAGAAATGTAGAAATACATAAATAAATAAATGCAATAAATGGATAAATAAATAAAGGAAAAAATGTAGATTTTGATAAATAACCTAAATAAAAGTATATTTATTTGATTTCATAGTAATATTTAACACATCAATGTAAATATTTAGTTTTTATTGTCCAAAATGAATGTATTTATTAATATATTCCTGTATTTATTTATTTATTTATTTATTTATACTTTAGTCATTTTTGGTCCTCCATACAATGTAAGCTAGCTATGTTCACCCGGGCTTGATTTCTTCTTTGATCATTTTTTTGCTTTAGTTCCTTCTGCTCTTCCTCACTTTTGCTTTCTTTGGGCTGTTTTGCTGTGTATGCAGTTACAGTCAGAGGATAGATAGCCACTTTCTGCCTCCATGCTGCTCTTGTTTACCTATGCTGTATACGCAAGAGGATGCATGGCCTGTTTGCAACAGCGCCGCCTCCCCTCGTTGTGTAAGTGGAGGAGAACGAGCGTCACGCTAAGTCTCTACTCAGCACTTTTTATGGCCTGAATTCATACACAAGCTGAATCAATTAGATCAATTTTTCAATTAAAATGTGGGTTTTAATACAACTTGTATGTAGAAATACACATTTTTATGAACTCATCAGAAGTGGGTTTCAATGGACTGTAGACCGTTTTCTGTTACAAGAGACCCTCTTTTTGCTTTTTTTCGAGGAAAAAATACTGTCTACTATGGAAAGACAGAATGTTTATTTTATGTGTATATATTGTTGTTATAATAAACAAAGACAGTACATTTGTACATGTTAGTATTAGATAGCAATATGGCCTACGTGCAGGACTGTACAAGGACTCTACAAGGACTCCATGTTATGACTATGATTTGACTGTCTCTTTGTGACACGTATGTCTTTCCATGTGTGACGTGACAATGACTATATAAACTGTGTACTGCCTTTATTCTGTCTGAGAGAAAGAAACGGAGTAAACCACTGGAACTTGAGAGAAACTTATATAAACTTCCAGAGTTTGGCACACCACGATCCGTCTCTCTCTGCTGAATCCTGACAGATTTGGTGGAGAATGTGCGGCTCCGTGTGTGCCATTCTCTGGATTGTTTTGAGGGAGTTTTCTTTGTTTTTTTTTCCTCGGCGTGAGAGATCGGCATGCTGTGTCTGGGAGCGGAGATTCCAGCAGACTGGAAGAGCTGTTCCTGGATGCTTCTTGTCGCTTCTGTCACTTTTGTTTTTTAAATTGAATATTCCGACGCGGAAAAGAGGTTGGTAGACCTCTCGGACAGTCCCTGGTACCTGTTTGACCAGAATAAGGAAAGCAGACACCTTTTTATATGTAAAGTCTGTATAATTGGATACTAGCTAAATTTTGGTCTGTTTTTGGGGTCTGTCAAACTCTCTAAATTGTATTTGAGAAGAAGTCTCGGGGTTAGAGTCCCTTTGAGAAGAAGTCTCGGGGTTAGAGTCCCTTTGAGAAGAAGTCTCGGGGTTAGAGTCCCTTTGAGAAGAAGTCTCGGGGTTAGAGTCCCTTTGAGAAGAAGTCTCGGGGTTAGAGTCCCTTTGAGAAAAAGTCTCGGGGTTAGAGTCCCTTTGAGAAAACGTTTTCGGGGTTAGAGTCCCTTTGAGAAAAGATAAAGTGTAGGATCCTTAGTGAAACCATGGTGTAATAATAAAAGCAATAAAAAGGGAAATGTGTTAAAGAGGCCTTTGTTACAAAAGCTTTGAAATTGACGAATTTCAGGCTGATAAATGACAAAAGTACATAAGCAACAATATTTCAGTGATCACGGTTTAAATTACATACAGAAAAAGGGAGTTTTTGTTTTTGGAGTGAACAGAGTTCACCGGAGAATGCAGAGTTTTATCTAAAGTTGAGCTATGAGAGCTTTCGTGAGTTATTTACATTTTTTGCCGAGTTATATCTACAGTTAAGCTATGAGAGGGTTGTATCCAACAGTTGTTTTTGTTTTTTAGAAAGAGATTTTGAGTTTAAACTAGTTTGCTACCTCGATAAAATAGAAGCGTACGTTAAAGTAAGAGTGCCTTTTGTTACTAGTGTGGAAAGTGATCACTTCTAGACTTGGATGACAAAAGTATAAAGAACAACATCAGTTATATTTGCTTAAAGTGGTTCTCACCCCCGCTCCTCGGAGCTTACGTCACTCACATTTCCTGTTCAAATCTTCCTCTAAATGGGCGTGGCCTGGAGGACTAAAGGGGGCGTGAACGAGACTGGGCCGTTTACATTGCTCTGGGCGGGGGGCTGCTGACGTCAGGTCCAACTTGCAGACGTCAGGTCCAACTTCTGTGCCAGTGTTGGCGCCAGATTCAAAATTCAATTGTAGTAATACAGGTCGCCAGCAGATGGCGCCTCACAGACGGTTTTAGGCAGAAAGTTTAACTTTCAACTAATTTGCACCAAAGTGACAAGATTATGACCAGGATATGTAGACAACACTATTGGACACTCATTTATACCGTTTATCAGCAAAAAAAAGTGGATTTGAGGGTGAGTTGTCCTTTAAAAAAGTCATCTTGAAAGTTATTATTCTTTCTGTTTTAGCATTTTTGCTAAAACACTACTTTCTGCCTGTTTGTGTGCGTCGCACTATCTTGCTGCCGTTGTCAGGGAAACGGCCCCCTCCTTTGCTGCTCTGGCTCTGAATCAAAGCTACTGCTTTAGGATTTTTGGCTTTTCATAGTAGTTATTCCGTTAAATTTGCGAAATTTGCCATTTGAACATTGTGTTAGACACAGTTAAACGTTTTTAAACACCATTAGTGAATAAGTTTTGAATTAGTATGTTTTTGAAACCCAAAGATTAGTACAAAAAGCTTTGCTTTTCTTTTTAAATCTGCTGCTTATTTCTTAACTTTTTGTGAGTTGTGTTTGTTTTTATGTTTTTATTTTAGTTACAAAAGCCGTTTTTCAAACATTTAAATTAGAATTTGTGTTAAAAGTGATTATTGATTATAGACTTCGTCTAAAAAGAAAGAGGGAATTAGATTAGCTGTAAAAGTATTATATTATTAAGTTAAACTACCCAATTCACCCATTGCAAGCGGTGACGTTTTTGTTTTGACTACACGCCTGACCTTG